TCCATTCAAATTGATTTTAGACTGGACGGGATCCAATACAAAACTGATCCATTGACACCCTTACCAAATAGTGGTGATCATGGGTCGAAAAGGGGTTTCATGTAACATCAAGCCTGGTCCTAAAAGGCTAAAAGCCTAAAACCCAAAATAGGCCCAGCAGTCACTATGTTTCAACTCTAATGTCTAGACTGGGCCTTTGACAAACTAAACCTTCTTCGTATGAACCTATTGAAGGTTTCATTCATAGTTTTGTTTAAGGGTAAATTAAAAATAGGTACCCTTTACTTTTCAGATAGGTGATTCTTAAATTTTCAAATACAACATTTTATTACCTTGAACTTTTAGAAATATACAATTAAGTATAACTCCATTAAACTGTCATTACACTAAAGGGTAAAGATTATTAAAATACCCATATTTAAATTCTCCTTTTTTTTTTTTTTACTATTCCTCTTATGCTACCTCGGGATGCAATCTAATGGCAGCACAAAAGAAACACCAAATAATAAAGAAGCTAAGGTCTGCACCACCAACATGTTGATTTCTGTACTGAGCAATGCTTACATTTTAGTTTATGTACCCACGCAAATGCACTATCCACCATATTTTTTGCTGCCACTTTTTGCATCCGAAAGTTCAGGATAATAAGGTTGCATTTGGCATTTCTTATTTTAAGGATTTATTTTTTTTCGAACAATTAAAAACTCAATATTTATAAAAAATATTTTAACATAAATTCTTAAAATAAAGAATGCCAAATACAACCTAAAATAATTGAAAGTTTAGGCCTCAATTGTATATTGCCGCAACCAATCAATGAAAAGAACAAATGGGGTCTGACGTGAAGGAGGAACCTAGCTCAAAAACTCCAACCTGGGGGGACATGGGCATGGAAACATGCTCCATTCTTATGGCCGAGATCCAACATCTGGATGACTGGATCAAGATCCAACCCACATTTGACTATGGATCATTAACTATGTTAAGAATCAATTCCTAATATAGTGATTGTGAATGGGCATCATCAATGGATCAAGTCTGCACCAGGTCAAGGTGGACCAATGCCCAGCACTACCTATAATTGATCCTATCCTCCATTATAATTAATGACCATGGTTTTCAAAATCAGACCGGAAAACCAGCAATCGGTCAGATAATCGGTTCTATTTTACTTTGAAATCGCTTTTTGGTCAAAAACCGTTAATTTGGTCAATGACCCGTTGATCAAGGTAATCTCAAACCATCAACCTGGAAAATGCCTTGGCTGTTTTTTATTTTTTAAGTTAGAATGGATCATCCATTTGAACTGGATGGTTGGACCATTTGACCCGGGAATCGATCCCCAAAACAGTTTGCTGTTCAGTCTGGTTATTAAAACCTTGATGATGACAAAAGCTTGCTAATATTGTTTAATAAGTTTATAATAAAATGCTCATCATGAAGCAGTCAATGGAAATGCCCATATAGTTTTATTAGATTAAATATTGATCTTAAATTTATTTTAAATTTCTTTGTAGTATAAATCCAAACTGGATGCAAAATTTGCACACCTCCTGATGTAAAATTTGCACTTTTTCTCTCACTTTTGTTTATCCACAGTGCAAATTTTGCATTTCAAAAACTGATGCAAAATTTGTACAACCTTCCTCTTATCCTCTCTTATACAAAGGATCACATCATTTCACTTTCCATTTTACACTAAACAGATCATCCCGCTTCCATTTTCTCTTACATAGAGAGGCGACCATTATCTTATTTCCAATTTTGCTCCTTCGGCTCAGGTTAGGAGGAGCACAAATACAAATATGTACAGTATAAATACATAAAAATAGTACAAAACGTAAGGTTTTGTACTTTACATATTTATGTTTGTACTCCTTCCAAAAAAACAAAATAAAATTAAGAATAAAACTAAGGCAAACCAGAATCTGCACTCAACCCATTTGCATTTCCATACATTTGCACCAGTACAAAATAAAATTTGCACTGCAAAAAAACATGAAGAGATAATGTAGTCAATCCAAATGGTCTAGGGGAATTGTGCATTTGCTTATCTTCATCACCTAAATCCATATCATCCCTGTGCCCAACTGTGCAATGAAGATGACCAGATGATATTAACTGTTTTTATGCACGCTAAGTATCTAGACAATATGACATTGTTTGATTGAAAGGCGGAAATATAAATTATGAGTGCTCGTTGAAGTCTCACAAAGCATAAAAGTTCATAAAATACATGTTTCATAAGCATATTACGTACTGTTAGTTGATTACCATGCATGCCACATGGTAGCCTCAAATGGTGAATATTTTCTTCTATCCTCTTATCATTTAATTTTGTCATGGATTTGACAATTCAATTTAGAACTTGCTTCTCCATATTCAAGAACCAGGATATGACAATTCACTGCTGGTACAAGTGCTTTTTTTGTCCATTCAGTTATACAGTATTGTGGATCTAACTCCTGATTAATAGGATATCAGATTAGATTATTTTTTCTCAAAGGAGGAAATTTGTTTTGTTTAAACTCTAACAGAAGAAACTTCTGAAACTATGATTGTGTATAATGATATATATATTTCTTTTGAAGGTCACAGAGAACAGTCAACTGAACAATCTCTTGGGCTATTAAAAGAACTGGTCTGAGCTAATGAAACCTTCTGGGGATTTGTGAATCAGGGCAGTACATGGGAATTTTTGTAGAGATATATAACCTCGTCAAGGCCGGCTTACTTGAATCCAAACATCAAAACAAAATTTCCATCAAATTTACACACCCTTAATCATTTAATCATCAAAACAAAAATTACATTGCAGTCCCAAAGGTCTAAAGTTGTAGGCATACCCATGTTCCAGGGGGATAGGAGGTCTACATTTAATGGTCCATATTACTTCTCTTTCACATTCATGACAAGAGGATCATCAACACATGATACTATCCTTTAGTCTATGTTTGGTTTGAAGGAAAAAGTAGGGAAAGGAAGGGAAATGTAGGAAAACCTTTACGAATCTGTATAGGTTTCCTTACCTTTTCCTTCCTTTCCCTAATTTTTCCTTCAAAACAAACATAGCCTTAAAGGAAAACCCAAAGAAATAGTGAAATGAAAAGGTCTTTGGATCATGACTCAATTCCATATGGGTAGTTAAAGATTTCTCATGTCATATCCTTTGTCCCTCTTAAGGCCCTGTTCGCTTTTCGGTAAGTTATTTACCCGGGTAAATGCAGTTACCTAGGTAATTTTTTCTTCGGAAACACTTACCTGGGTAAGTGCATTTACCCATGTTCTTTAATTTCTCATGTAAATATGGTAATGACCATTTTAGTCATAAAAATTCATTATTAAAAGGGGCATTTTTGTCCCATTCAAGTGTTGTCAACTTCCTCCTAGATGGGAAAGTTATTTACCCACCTAGAAGATGGGGTAAGAATATAAACTTTCCCTGGTCCCCATATAAATCTGAAAAAAGAATTATGGGATTCCCCCTCTCAAAATCCAAAAGAAGAACAACCTCTAAAAGTGAAGTTTCTAAATCAAATGATGCTTCCCCTCCCAATAATCCTGGGTATCTTTACCCACCCAAAATCTCTGTCATTCTTGCACCATGCATGCATTGTCCATTTTCATATATCTTTTACAAACTAAATAAGAAGAATCTAACCTATGTGGATCTCCACTTCCCCTAAGGAGAATTGAATGGACATCTTGTTGAAAGCCATTTTCAACAAATGTCTTGTTTTGTACAAATTTCTGAACGATTATATTTGAAAGTACCCTTAGTTGTATTATTTGTGTTTTATGACAAGGAATGGAGGGGGAATATCTCTATATACTTTATCACAGTTCATATATTTGACAATTTGTACTTCCACTGTGATGATTTGGGATATTAGGTAAGGCAGATAGACGTCTCTATAGGTCCAACAGTTATCCGATCGAGCATTCAGCCACAAGTGTGAGAGAAGCTGGGTCTGGCCATATCACTCTGCAACTTCTTCCATTTAAAATAATGATATTGGGATTGACTAACTGCACCATTTGTCTTCTTATTGAATAATTCTTTGTTTGTCTGTTCTCTTTTAGGCTTGCATTTTAAATGCAAAAGCTTGAGGTCTTGTGGCTTTTTACCCAGGAATCAACTCAATGTGTAGAAACATATTATCTTATTGTCAGTTGACTTACTGCCTTAATCAGCAACCTAATTGCACTATCCTATATGTGAAAGTCACCCACAAAGTAAAACAGAGTGATGAACCAGCCCTCAACTTTGACCATGTTGTCCCTTTCATCAAAGAAAACTTCCAAATTAATATCTTCACATGGAGACAAGACCAAAGGACAGGCAGCAAGAATAATGCAAGGGACCTCAGTTGTCTACCTTGAACGGATAATATGCCATGGGAAGAAACGAAAGCGGGGAACAACCGAACCCCTGCTAAGAAAAAGATGGGTAAGGCATATATGCCCATCTGGTTTGGATTAACTTGTAGATCCTTCTGTTCCTCTCCCAATCAGCCAGACATCCATTAAAGAATAGTAAGTGAAAAATTAAGTGATTGAGCCAACATATATGCACTTGTGGCAAAAGAACGATTGAAAGACAACAACCAGAATTACTTCTGCAACTATAATTGCTTCTATTGTTGATTGGGGCAATAAAAATTACTATATATTAGGCAGTAAATTCTGAAAAAAAAAATCTAAAAATGCCATGTTCATCCCCCATGACACAAAAGACATAAGCCTGCTTTATGGAGAGACAAACAACAACAAACAGGGAAAGGACGGAAGAACAGGAGCAGAAGAGACTTTTGAACCTTTTGAAATTTCACCTCATCCAACCTGATCTAAAAGCTCAATATCCAGTTGGGCTCTCTGCATTTTGTATAGGAAAAGGCTGCTTAATTGGTGATGACAAGACATAAATTTGTGAAAGATAAATACAGCAGTTAGTGAACATGGCTGGACTCTACCCTATTTAAGAACATGGGTTACACATCTTCTCTGTTTTGGAGTGGGCTCCTCTATGCTTGTATTGAAAGCTGCCTTTTTCATTTATGAGTGAGGCAGAGAGAAATAAAGATGATTGCATTTTCAGGTGTGATATCTAATAACCTAGTGAGCAACCCTGGTTCTATCAAATTTAAGAAATTGGGCTTTATTCCTTTTGTGAGATCGGTTCTCTCCTGTTTACATAGAAAGCTGTCCCTGGTGATTAAAAGCCAGAGAATTAATGGTGTTAGGATGTCCAGGTGGTTTAATTTATACTAGCTAGCTATTCAATAATGTGGGTTTTATGTAGTTCTCAGATAGTCAGATTGTAAAGAGCTCCGTGTGGAAAGCTGCTTTTTGGTTTATGGTGGGTCAGAGAAATAATAAAGACATAGTTGGGTTTCCCAGATGATCAGAAATTTAGCTTAAATGATCTTTAGAGTTTAGATACAGCCCTGTTGGTATCTTATTTAAGAACTCCAAAGGGTTGCATTCTCTTTGTCTGTTAGGTTGCCTTCTTTTTTGTTCTCTTCTCTTCCTCCGTTCCTCTACCTACAGTAATGGAGTCCTCCCAACTCTATGGAGGTACAGAAGAATATTGTAGTAGCAGTGAATCTGGGTGGACAATGTATATTGCCTCCCCCATGCAGAATGATGATGATGACCATGGCTATGATTATGAAGAAGAAGATGATGATGATGATGATGATGATGACGACGATGATGATGATGGTAACAACGGCAACGATGACAGTCATGATGACGACAACGACAGTGGCGATTCCATGGTTTCTGATGCCTCAACGGGTCCCAGTCATCGTGAGCATCCATATGAGCATGGTGATGAGAGAGCCCATGGCATGACCCAGTTCGAGCATAATCAGGATGAAGACGATAACGAGTACTGTTCATACGAAACTCCTTACAGAAGCATGAAGAAAAGAGAACAGAGAGGAATAAGCAAAGAGAAAGAAGACTCGGTGCTCATGGCGAACAGTGCAACCAGTCATGTTCAGAATGGAGCAAAGGTGAGGAAAACCAACTGGATGGGCAAAAGAAATTAGATATAATTTATTTGCCTTTGGGTTTACTGCTAGGTCTGTAGCATGTTTCTGGTTACGTTTGCCAAATTAGCAAGGTGAGACCCGTTGTTCATGTCTATGTTGTATGCGTCATTTTGTAACAGTTGAAAGCTTATGCATGTTGAATCCACAAATGTCTTAGTGGGTACTTAGGCTTTTATTATGTTTTCTATGTACTATACATTTTTTTTTTCTTCTTCATGGTAGGGATTGGTGTAGAAGGAAGATTAACCAGGAAGAGACAGTACTACGGTTTCTCTATAAAAATTTATAATATTGTTTGGTTAGCACTGAAAGTTAATTAGCTGATTCTTCATGAATTCTTAACACACTATTGCAATGATGGAATTTGCTTCTACTTGTGGGTGGTTTAATGAGTTTGGGAGTGATAACCCATGAAACCATGGATTTGATGGCAGAATCAGAGAGAGAGAGAGAGAGCATGTCTGGTAACCTACATGAGAAAGGATGCTTCTGGAAGTGAGAGAGGGGAGATTATTTTAAATAAAAAAGGAGTGAGACTTCGCCTTTGACAGAAGATTCTAACCAATGCCCTTATCTCTGTGTGTAGGAGAGATGAAAAAACACAAGACCAATCTGACATTGGAAGCAAAGAAAAAAACGTATAATGAGCACCCATCTGAGGTAGCGAAGCACTGCTAAATGGCACATGGGTGTCCATTTGTTTTAGACTCATCAGAATGGGTGCATCAAAACTGTAAAGCTCACAAGAACATTCAGACCGAAAAAACCATCAAAAAACCAAGACCCAGAAAGCAGCTCAGTGGGCAACCGGTTTACCGGTTCAACCACCAGGTCAAATTTGATTTTGAGAGCATTGCAGGAAAGAGGAAACCATTTAGCTAAAGTGTATATATCTTTTACCACTTACTATATATCTTGGGCTTCACCAGGTCACCCAGACAACCTCCAAAATCAATGAAACCCAAATTGGAAAGGGTCACCTTTACAGCTCTCTACTTGTTGCCAAGTAATACAAAAGATCATGTAGTGTACTAATTCAACCAATACTAACCAACCAGCCAGCCATACTGCATTGAAAGTTTGAAACAAATCAACCAATTAATACGGCCGGCAATGTTCACTGAATGCTAAAGTAAAAAAGTTAACTAGATCTTGAGTAAAATGTAAAAAAGCACCAAGGAGACGAAAATATGTCAAAGAACCAAGGGTTCAATAAGTAAGTAATGACTCCTCGTTTTTGTGAACCAAGTACCTTCTCCCCACAGAAAGACTCGCCTTCAGATCACCCAGATGGCTTAATTCCATGGTTGACAGTGGCGACGTGCAATGCGCTGAACCTGCCCATCCTGCACTGCAGTAGCTAGGCAGTCCTAATTCTTGCCACCGCCTACAGAGAGGTGGTCCAAGCTCTTGCCACCACCCCTAGCTACTGAGCCCCACAGAAATCAATCCAGTCTTCTGGGTTGAAAACCTGTTGTGAACTGTGATAACCAAAGGGAACTCCATTCCCATTAGATGGTAATGAGCTTAGGCTTCAGTTACAAGTCTAAAATAAGGCTCAACCAAGGAAACGTACGTATTTATGACCAACTAAGTTCAACTTCAGTTGGTGGGACGCCCTTTCTTACAACTAACCACCAAATGGAGCATGAGTTGTTTGTGGTACAAAAAGTAAGTATAGTACTCTGCAACTCACTCTCTCTCTTCTGAAACGATACAATAAATGCGTAATAATGAGTGTTATTGATGTCAAACAACGCGGAATGGAGATGATAGAAATTCAGGATCAGGAACCACGCATCGCTTGAGCTTGTGAACAATGTGGTGAAAAAAATGGTGAAGGGGCTTGCCCAGCCATTTCCCAACAGTTCACAGGAGTTAGAAACTGGGGAGGCATAAATTCTCAGCCAACAGAAATAAGTTGACAAAGGAATGGCCGACCATGCTGAGACAACTTCGCTGAATGCAACCCACTAGCTTGTGTAAAGAATTCAAATACTATATATGACTATACCAGATTCTTCTGTCCTGGCCTTCTTTGTAAGGATTACAAATTTTGACAAAATATTACTTGATATATATAATACTGCCGGTAAATAGGGGAAACGTGTAAACGAGTGTTAAGAAATAGGAAGATAAGGACTAAACAGAAGTAACTTTGACAAAATATTATTTTAGAAAGTCCTGAAATTCCTATAATATCTTGAAAAATTCACCCAGATTTCAGGGGAAATTTTGGTCAAAAAGTGGTTCAAAACCGAAATTTAAGATCATGCTTTGGTGAGAGCCATAAGCTTATTTATAAGAGCTCACAGTACAAGATTGAACCACTTTTGTTGAAACAGATAAGGAAGTGCAATATTTCATTATCAAAACAAAATGATGAGCACCCATGTACAGCAAGGCACTGTACAATGGGAATGTAGAAAACTTACAATACATATCAAGAGTTACAGTTCATGAAAAGAGTTTCAAGTTCAAACAAAAGAATTGTACGATATTCCCCTGAAAGCTATATGAACTGACAGCCGAGAACCGAGTTCCCCATTGCCCTTCCTCTTGAGTCTTGATCACGTCAGAGCCGAGCAGTTCAGTTCTTATCTTCAAAGATACAAGAATTTGTCACCCTAAATGGTCCCAAAAGGCTTCATACTCCATGCTACTTTACCTCTTTTACAAGGCAGATCAGAGCCCATGTCGAGAGCTATAAAACCAGTAGTACAAGAGAGGAAACCAGGCAGAGCCCCTGGGAAATCTAGCAATATAACGGTCCATTGCAATTGTAGTGATTACCCACTTCATAATGTAAGTAACTATGCTCATTTTAAGAACAGTTACCAACATGTGGGATCACTTGAATTTGTATGGAAAGAAATAGAACTTTTTAGAGATCCTAATATGGTGCCATGGAATAACTGAATTGCCACAGCGAGGGCGTGCTGATGAAGGTGAAATATACGAGTCTAAAGCGCTGAAACAATTTCTCACAATCACCCAAAATCTGCATAACAGTACAGGAAAAAAAGTTCCATTGATTGGAGGAAATAAGCAATGTTAAGTTAGACACATACGTGTCGCTATATCAAAAATCAAAACAAAAGGAAAAGGTCCCGGGTACGGATCTGCTCTAGAGGAGCCTTGGCATGCTGACACAATTGAATCAGTCCAAATATGAACATACTGAAAGTACAGAAACAGTATTAAGATAGATCAGATAACCATGCACAGATAATACAAAAATGAATGCAAAGAGAAACTATGCAGCTTTGGTGATGGTGGTGGTGGTGGTGGTGGCGGTTCTGCTGCTTATTATGGTTTTGGTGTGTACTTGTTTTCCATTCTTTTCCTTCTCTTGGCAGGATGAAGATCAGAGGTCACTGTGACATTGGCCAGAGGGTTAGAATGAATGCATGATGAAGTGGGATCACAAACCAAGGTCTGGGGGTTCAGCTTTCATGGACTTTACCTCTCACTCTCAGCTAGCTGGCACCTTGGATGGGTAATTAACAGTATTTCTCCTGTTACACATGGTAAGCATAAAGAAAATGCCTCAGAAATGGCATTGCAAGTCCATCCTCAAGTAGAATATATATTTTCTTAATTAAATGAACATTCATACTAATTAAACTGACAGTGCCACCAAAGGGAATTTTAATCCTTTTTATCTCAACCTTTATTTGAAAATTAATTAACACAGAAACACTCTTGACATGGGCACATGGTGAGATTGCATCATCTCTAATCCTACTTGCAAATGTATGGTTTGCATCTCCATTGCCTCCAAATGGTGTATACAGTACAATGTACATCCCTATTTTTCTCTTAAGGCGGCCTTTTTTAGCCTGCACTCGGTTGCATGTAAAGAAGGAAAATGAATAGTTTCCTTGGAAAAGAATATTCAATGGGAGTATAAATCATTTTCGGATCAGATCAATTTGAAGAGTATAAATACAAATATGTACAGTGCAAATACATACAAAATACAAGGTTTAGCACTCTACATATGTACTTCTACCTAAGAACTTTTTGGGTTGATCAATACAAATTGATTACCAATTAATGGTGGCTCAGTTGACATGATCTCAAACTCGTAGCAGAGAGCTGGGATCAAATTCCACTGCCACCAGGGTTTTGGAGGGGGGGGGATGTTATGGGATGGGCTACTCCCATGGTGTAGCCTCATGAAGGAAAAAAAAAAAGAAATTGGTAAGAGAAATGTGTTGTCCACATCACATATGAAAATAACTTCAACTAAAACAATTAGACTTCAACCCCCCCCCCCCTTTCCAGTTCCCAGGGAGCTATAAATGTTTGATGCTTCTCTAAAAACAGTCTTACACATGCATTTTTAAGAACTGTAAATAGTACCAAATAACAGTTGTTGGCCAATTTGCATTGAAACCCAAAACGTTTCAGGTAGAAACAGCAATGGTACCACATGATCTCAAAGTGCAAGCTGTGAGTTGAAAGGGACAACCTCTGTTTATAAAATGGCTTATGGAAAATTATTGAGTATTATTCTCCCATTAACACTCACTTTTGAAAAACATTCTTTTTCCACAGCCATTTTGCATGAAATCTAATATTGAAAAAAGTGCATTTCCTGAAAATTATTTGTTTTCCTTCTTTTTCTTGTGCAACCAAAGAGAGCCTAAATGTAAAAAAGGGATGGACAGCTCTGTTTTGGCCATAAAAACAGGTGGAAATATAATGGGTTATCCCTTCCCAGTACATCATGAAATAGTAGCTGCTGCAAGGAAAAGCCTGGCAGAGTCGCGCACCTTTGAAGCATAACGGACTATTGAGAAATTATTGTAGTGTTAGCTCTAAGGACTAACTATCATGGCCAAGTCTGCGCTCCCACCTCCCGGACTAACTAGTATTTATTCTTAGCTATTTCTTCATGGATCTATTGGTTATTGTACGTGCTTGTTACTTGGGATATTTGGGTATTTTTGTTTTTCTTTCGAATTAGTGATCAATTTATGGTAGGGTCCGACTATGACACAACCGGTATCAAATAAATATGTTAATCAAATTTGAGTTTGATTCATGGGTAGGTTTTGATTCCTCAAGACTCTTCCGATACCATGTCTTTCACCGACACCATAGTGGTTGAGATGTCTGAATGCATTTGAATATATCTGGATCTATTTTCACCAGTTTGTAAATTGCAAGTCATTATATTTTAAAAACAAAAACAAAAAAAAAATGGAATAAAAAGTGAAATTGACTATGGTGGAGTGTGGGGATCTCCGGAGGAATCAAGAAATCCTTGTCTCCATTGGTGGGGACGGGGAGTTTCTCCCCATACCAGGCTTCATCTTAGTTGGTGGTTTGGCAAGTGTAGAGATGAAGCCAAGAAAGAATGGTTAAACGAATCCCACAAATAGACACAAGGTATAAACGTTCACGCTTGGTGAGTTGGTGGGTTACCCATGGGTCAGAGCTGGGGGCCTCTGAAATATGAAGAGAAATTGCCTGAACTTAACCATGAGGGCAGCACTAGAGAGAATCTGCTGTAGTGGCTATTGGAAGGATAGAAGCGTCCCTTCCAAATCCAAACTTTGGATCTTTATTGGGCTGCTCTAGAAGTCGTGTTATCTGGAACATGACACAGCAGCGGGGTTTTTTATGGAGTTTTAGACTGAGGACTAACACTCAGCTCAGGCTATGTTTGTTTGATAGAATACAAGAGACAAACAGAAAATGAGGGTGGGAAGCTCCAACCAAATTTTGTGAAATGCGTTAACTTTTCCACAACTGTTCATCTCTTATCTATCAAACCAAATATAGCTTTAATGTTGCTTTTAAGAACCCTGCCACCAGGACCTTTGAGTGCAGATGGCATATGCAGTCAGCAACCTGCATTCGTTTTAAGTTTTCAGAACGTTGATGTGCCAGAGTCCAAAAGTTGTTAATTCTAACCATCCATTCCAAGATGAGTTCACCTACTATTTTAAATCCCATTCATGGCCCGTTTGGGAGGGCTTAACAGTGGTTGAACTGCTACTGGAAGAGGTTTTTCCGGAATGACCAAAATTTTGGCTCTCCGGATGTTTTACTGAACATTGTTTATAGGCTTTCTGGGTGGCCAAAGGCCGCCATGAGTAACAGTGTAAGCCCTCCCAAACGGGGGATTCAGTATAGTCATCTAGCTGCATATCCAAGAAAAATTCCATTTCCATCGCATACAATCAGATTGGAGAAGATGTCTGCCACTTGAATAAGCACAATATTGCAAATGAACCAAGTTTCCTCGTACAAACAGATGACTAATTTCCAGGTCAACTACAATAGAATCAATCATTATTACCACTACGAGAAGAAGCAGTGAAGAGTTTTGCCTTCACTGGCATCCATAGAACAAAAGTAAAAACAAATGTGAGCTTCAGTAATGCCTCAAAAGTCTCATCAAACATTACAAACAACAAAACTAGGCTCTGCTAAGGCCAGTTGCAGAAATACAAACAAAATGCAAACTCAACAGGTTTGATTAATCCAATTTGAAAAGATGCTTCCGTTAAACAAAACAGTGAACCTTTATCCTGCTGCTATTTGGTCCCAACCGGGAGGGACATTATTAGGTACAACCATTTCCAATTACTTAAAAGACCACTAACAGAAAGCTTAGATCTTTAGCTGTTTAGCGATCTTGAACCATTCAGTATGGAAGGATCCCTCTACATCAATCCTCTCATAAGTATGGGCTCCAAAATAATCTCTTTGTGCTTGGACCAGATTTGCTGGCAACCTTTCCCTCCTGTAAGTGTCAAAATATGCAAGACTGGATGACATACCCGGGGTGCTGATACCTGAGTTGATAGCAAGGCAGACAACTCTTCGCCAAGCAGATTGTCGCTCAACAATCTCCTTTGCGAATTCTGGGTCCACAAGAAGGTTTGCAAGATCTGGGTTCCTGTCATAGGCTTTCTTAATACGGTCCAAGAAGATAGCACGGATGATGCAACCGCCCTTCCAAATCCTAGCAAGTTCTCCCAATTTCAGGTCCCAACCCTTCTCAATGCTCTTTGCACGGATCAGATTCATACCCTGTGCATAACTGCAAATCTTGGATGCATAAAGAGCTTGCCTCACATCATCTATCAACTTCTGCTTGTCCACAACTTGATCAGTCAAGATGTCACAAACTCCACTTGATTTGAAAACCTTGGCAGCTTCAACCCTTTCTTCCTTTAAACCACTAAGGAACCGTGCATCCAAGGATGATGCTATTGTGGGAGCTGCAACTGATAAATCTGCAGCTTGCTGAACAGTCCATTTACCTGTACCCTTCATTCCAGTCTTGTCTAAAACCTTGTCAACCAAATAGCCATCTCCCTTATCATCTTTAATTCCAAAAATATCAGCAGTGATCTCAATCAAGAAGCTCAAAAGTTCCCCCTTGTTCCACTCTGAGAAAACCTGATGCAACTCCTCATTAGTAAGCTTCCCCACTGATTTCAGTACATCATAGGCCTCTGCAATTAGCTGCATGTCTCCATATTCAATCCCATTGTGAACCATCTTGACAAAATTCCCAGATCCTCCTTTGCCAACATAAGTCACACAGGGACCGCTGTCAGGGACTTGAGCTGCCACTTTGAGAAGGATATCTTCAATGTACTTGTAGGCCTCGAAGGACCCACCAGGCATCAAAGATGGACCATTTCTTGCACCCTCTTCACCACCTGAAACTCCCATTCCCAGATAGAGAAGACCTAATTCAGCCACGGCTTCCTGTCTCCTCTCAGTGTTTTCATACCACTCATTACCACCATCAATTATGCAATCACCTTTCTCCATGTAAACAGAGAGGGTTTTTATGGTTTGGTCAACAGGAGCACCAGCCTTAACAAGTATAATTATAACACGAGGCTTTTGAATAGATTGGACAAAAGCTTCAGGATCATGGAAACCATATAAGGGGAGGTTTCCTTCCTGTTTAGCTCGTTCAACGGTCTCATCAACCTTGGAAGTGGTTCGGTTGTACACAGAGATGGGAAATCCTTTCTCAGCAATGTTGAGGGCAAGATTTTGGCCCATAACAGCAAGCCCCGCGAGGCCTATTCTAGTAAGTGGAGCAGCCATTTGCTTTTCCTGTTAGAAGAATGAGATCATCAGTGAGAAAGCTGGCAAAATACTAATCACATGGAAATGAAAACATGGATCCCATAATCTAAAACTAGGACTTGTCAGGATTCTTCAATGAAAAACATAGAGAGAAAGAGAGAGGGAGGCCACACATTTTCTGTTCTTACACAAGAAGTTGTAACTCTAGCAGAATAAATCAGCTTGGGAATCCTTTTTATTTTTTAATAATACAGTAAAGAAAAGAGTGAAGCTCAAAAATTTTGTGATATCAGACAAGAGGCTGAATGCTTGTTGAGTACTAGAAGAAATATCGACCACACTGAATGACATGGAATATATGGGATCTACGGTGAAATCAAGGGAAGAGAAAAATCCCATCACTCACATCACAAAGCAAAGGTAGGACTTCTTACCAAGAATCGCAATGTTCAATGAAATTGTGGTTCTTCTCACAGAAATAAACAAAAAACAAAAGCTACAGATTTACATTTAGGGAGGAAATCGTGACTCTAACAAATGAAATCTACAAGTAAGTCCTTCTATAAAAGTAACCTGAAAAGAAAATTCAAGATATTGTAATTTCCATTTTCCACTTTCCAGAGAACAAAAGGTTAATAGATTGGTTTGAATCAAAACAGATCACATTAAAGAACATGTTAACGCAAAAGAAGCGTAGATTCAGGAAAAAAAATCACGAGAATATATCCTCTAACTTCATCTAAAATGCAAAACAAAAAGCCTTGCAACTTTTTGATCCTTTTGCCACAAAAGGTAGGGCTTTTAACGAGGCAAGGAAGAATAAACAGATTCCCAATTTAAAACAAAATAAAGCAAACAAAGCAGGAGAAAGGGAAGAAGAAAAAGAACCCACTTCAGCAATTCACAAAGAGAACAAACAAATCGAAAGAGAAAAAGAAGAAAATTGCAGCAGCTAGAGCAAAACCAAGAACAGAGAAGGAAAAAACCTGTAATGAAGAATCGGAGATTGCTTCAGAAATAAATCGAGTCCCACGATATCGAAGATCTGGGTATTGCAGATGAGATAAACAACGAAGGATGAGACCGAATTATAAAGCTCAACAAATTCAAAAGTTCAGAAGATTCGACGCTTTTGCTTGACCAACCCAAGCTCTTCGACGAAGACTTCCCACTTCTTCTCACATATATACACACAGGTCAAATTTGGCTAACCAATTTTCTTCCTTTCCCTCTCCCTTAGCTTCCTCGCCGCTAGGCGCTTTCCCACTCGCTCTAAAATCTCATCACTGTCCTTATTTCGGCCTGATTCCCTAATAGTATTGAGGGGTACTTTAGTAATTTAAAAAAATAAACGCGTGTCAACGGTAGGAAGCGAGTGGCATTGAGGCGGCTACATGTCTAATTGTCGAGACGCTTTTGCATCCAGTGATTTGGGCACCTCTCCTCTCCTATGACTTCTGAGCACATGTAAAGACCCAATTGCCCTTAGTAGTTTGCAGGGAAAAGTATCGGGAAATAACTGCTTTTAGGAGAGGTAATTCAGTCTTTTCATTGAATAGTTGGATCATGAAAAAGGTAGGTGATACCCAAAGGACAAAAAATGGTTTCTTCGATGTTGGTTGAGGGGGGGGTTAGGTGCGAGTGCAATTGCGACGAGTATGAACGTTCGAGATCAAATCATAGCTTAATGGTTAGGTGGCAGAGAAAGGATGTGGTACCGCAGGATCTTTTGAATTACAATACATCCATCTCATGGTCCGTTCATATGTCCTCTCCGGCTCTCCCCAACCCTCTGATCACCTTTTTGATTGAATGAATAGTGCATCCACAATTCAATTGGGACCGTCCAAATCTATGATAGACAGGGCAAGGGGTGTAAAACGGATCTAAGACTGGTAATTTTGTTTAGACTTCAGATATATGTCGCAAAACGTGGTCAATTTCAGATTATTCGTATCAAACTACCAACGCGCTTAACAGTTCTATATATTATAAGTTTCGGGGTCGTTGAAATCAAGTGGACCCGACCCATTTGTGAAGAATCTAACAATGGGACACGTCACCTCAAGGTTTTTAAAATCGAACTTGGCAACGAATCGTTCAGGGTCCGGTTTCAAGGTTGAACGGTGTTATGGTTCAAACCAAATGAATGGTCCATTCTAATAAAAAAAGGTCAAAATTATTGAACAGTTCGACCTCCCAAGTCAACAATTTGTTGATCAAATCAGTGGGAAAAACGGAATTGGTCTGGCTTTTCCGGTCTAATCCGGTTTTAAAAATATTGTGTCACTTATGCATAAGCAAAAAATGGATAATTGCAATACTCAAAATATTGACAATTGGGTTCATTTCTTCAGTTAACCGAAGCTCTCCTCAGTCCCCACGATGATCTCTGCTCACATGGACTGAAAATAATAGATCCAATTTTTCGGATGGCAATAGCATTCTCTAGTGGATATCACATCTCCTCCCCACAAGGGACCACCCCACAGCACATCCTGTCGTGTCCGACGTTAATCTCTAGTGATGATTTTACTCCACGTACTTTTTACATTATGTAAAACTTAACTGATGGAATAACATAAGTATCTATTTTGAAGAGGTCAAGGTATTCAGGTGTTGCAATTGAAAATCATGAATACCTCTATCTGTCACTACCTGAAAGTACAGAGAACCTATCTGTATGAGACAATGACCCCAATGCCTCGAACATGGGCTCCAACTTCATAATCAGTACTAATTGTTTGAATCAGATCGGACTAAATCGCTAGGATGGATCGAACCAGCTGCATTTTAAGCTTGAATTTAATTATCACGTTGCTGCTAATAGTTGATGATTAATTGAGCAGTCCATTTATGAATTATCATGACAGATGAAATTGGAACCCAATATTTAAAGCCCATCAAACTGTATTGTTCTGTTTGAAATCTATCTATCAGTTTTACATGAAACCAATGTCTTTGCTTTAAAGAGCAAATTTGTACAAGTTTTTCCTCGGGCTGCAACTTGTGAAGGTTGGCTCCAGAGCAGGGCCAATCCAGGCCCAACCTAATCTCAATTGGATATCCAAGGATCAAGGAGGCTTCATTTTACATAGTAAATACGTTCTTTCTGTACTCTACGACCATGACTATAATATGACAAAAATGGGTTCTTGCTTTTTGTTTAAACTTATGTGGCCAGGGGTGTAATGGGCCAGTGAATCACTTCTATTCAACTTACCGAATGATTATATTGGTCTTGGTTATGTGATTTTGCCCGGTAGAATTAATTAATGATCAGTTTGCAACTAGCACACAATTGAATGGAAATGGATATTGATAGACTCAAATTCAAATTATTTATATTCGAATTCAATTTTGGATGTATTTTAGATTTGAGTTGAATTTGGATCATAAATGAATATTGAATATAATAAATAAATTAAATTAACAACTTGTTCGCTTTGCAGGAATAAGGGTCTGGAATTGGGCATTCTGATGGTTGGGTATAATTAGAATCTCATTCTCATTCTTATTCTTGGTGGAAAACTGGAAATGGCATTCTCCCATTTAAGGGAATGCCCATTCCCTCTCCCTCTTTTGGGAATTTTTAGCTCATTTCAATTCCTGTTCAAACCAAATTATGGAAATAAACCATTTCAATTCAGATTCAAGGGATTGTGATTCTAATTCCAACCATGAACCAAACAGACCTAAAAACGACTTTAACATTATACTCCAAGTGTTTGCCTATGATACTAGAAAGCCATGATGCCAAAGGAACTTGTAACCACTCAATCAATATCATAAAATTAAGGGTAAATTACAAAGACCCCCCCTGTACTTTGTTTTGCAACAAAGACCTCCTGTACTATGATCGTAAGACAAAGACCCCCTTCCATTAGCCTTCTGTCCAAAAAGGCCATTACAGTATTTTTTTTTAATTCCCATGTTATCCTTCTAACGAGAAAAACATTGTACATCTTCTCAACCTCACGATACACTAACATCAGCGGTGGATGGGCGGTAATCCCCTCTACCTCACCCTGCTACTGGTTCAAATCAACTATCGCCATTGACATACCATGTAAGTTAGCTCGCTTCATATAGAAAAGGGAAAAAGCCCTAACTTCCACTTTCTTCAGATCTGAAACTCTGCTAGGCTAGGTCAGGAATGGCTTCTTCGAAAGCCGATTCCCGTTTGAGTCTGGTAATTACTCCAGCTCTAGAGAAGATCATCAAGAACTATTCTTGAAGGAAACACTCCAAGTTAGTTCATGAATGCAAATTTGTAATCGACAAATTAGCTTCTCCCGAAAAGTTTTCTTCTACTCCCGACGATGCTGAACTGGACAGTTCAGTCCCCGGTCCATTGCACGACAGTGGCCCACTTCAATTCTCTCTCGCTGTGGCCGAAACGATTCTCAGTCCCCTGATCGATGCTTGTAGATCAGGAGTTCTAAAGATTGCCTATCCGGCTATTGATTGCATCCAGAAGCTTATCGCCCATGGCTACATTCGTGATGAAGCGGATCCTTCTGGAGGGCCTGAATCCAAACTTCTCTCTCGGATGATGGACTCTGTCTGTAAGTTGATCGCCTATGGATAAATTTGTGGTGAAGCTGATCCCCTAGGCAGGAGGCCACCCCCAAGGTGACCACCCCGCCAGGGAGTCAACACAACTAGGCTGGCACGGTTCCACCACCCAGTCGGCCCCCTGCGTCGGCCACGCACAGTGGGCCGAGCCCACAGAATCTGGCAACAGTTGCCCAACTGACCCACGCTCCAACACTTTTATGCCTCCCGATCGAAGGGAGGATAATTCCGGACCCCTCAATCGGAGAGGGGGGAACTCTAGACCTCTCAACAGAAGAGAGGAGGAACCAGGACAATCAGAGGACAGCCACTAACCCTTCGAACAACAACACCCATGTCGAAGGGCCAACCCGAGGGATGAAGGCGGGCGTCATGACCGCCCCAGCGCTCACTCCAAAGCCGAGGGCTGGCGCCAAGCCTCTTCCCCTAACGTCACGAACCTCCATAACGTCCTGAACGACCATTGCGCTAGGCACGCGGCTTCGATTCTGAGCACTTTGGCGTTCGCGTTGAACACCACCGCATCCGCGAAGGTCGGGATGTCACCCAGGTCGGGTCTGACCCCATGTACGTTGAGCTTGGTGTAGTCAAGGCCGAACTCAAGCAGGTCAAGGAGGGCTGAACCGACACCTCGGCCGAACAAAGCTCTTGCCAAGGCAGAATGGATGCCTTCTCCTCAGATATCATTGCCAAGCCTCTGCCCCCAAACTTCAAGGTCCCCGCCTTGGAGATGTACGATGGGAACTTTAACCCGGATGACCACCTGGAGAGCTTCAGGGCACTCATGATCCCATATGGGTACTTCAACGCCTTGACGTACCGAACTTTCTAGGCAACCTTCAAGGGAGCCGCCCGACGATGGTTTTCAAGCCTCCCACCTCAATCTATCAATTCGTGGGAACAATTTTCCAGCATGTTCCTTGCACGCTTTATTAGCAGTCGGCGTCCTCAGAAGAGCGTCGTCTCGCTAATGACTGTCAAGCAAAATCCAGGAGAAAGCCTATGGTCATACATTGGCCGCTTCAAGAAAGAAGAATTGGAGGTCCGTGACCTTGACCCCCTGGTCTCCATGCATGCCGCCATCAGCGGGCTCCTCCCCGACTCGGCCCTCAAATGCTCCGTGGCCAAGAGCCAACCAAAGACGAAACCAGAGTTCTTGGAAAGGGCCCATAAATACATTACAGTTGAAGAAGCCTCGGCCACAGACGCCCAGGAGAGGGGCACGGAGCACCGGGACGGAGCCCCTGAGAAGAAGAGGAAGAATGGGGACCAGAACCGCAACAACAATAGAAAGCCTTCGGCCTCGGCCTTGGCTTACAACCAATACATGCCACCCAATTCCACCCGCACGCAGATTCTGATGCAGATTGGGTAGGAGAAATTTATGAAGTGGCATGAGATGTTGAAGAAGAACCCCCATCAGGGGAATCCCAAGAAGTACTGCAAGTTTAATCGAGACACAGGCCACGACACTGAGGACTGTTACGATCTCAAGAATGAGATAGAGTCCCTCATTCGTCGGGGGCACCTCAAACAGTACACCGGGGGCGAGGCAGATACCTCATCCCCTCAATAGCAGTAGCACTAGCACCAACAAGCAGCAGCCGTCATTGACGTCATAGTGGGAGGCACGGCCTCAGGTGGAGAAAGCACGAGTTGATGCCCTCTCCAAATTGGCAAGTACTTCAA